GTCACTTCAAGATGCAACGCCTGGTGATTCATCGTACACAATATTAATATTAAATTGCTTTAAGGCGATAAACAAAGCTCGAGAACTAGGTTTTTCTTTTAATTTTCAAGATTTTGATTTATACTAAATTATAGACTTTTGAGTGCTGTAGATATATTTTTACATTTTTAATTTTTTACATTTTCTATGAATATTATCGCTCCAATACATTCACAGTCGGATTTCCTACGGTATCAAAATTGTACCGACGGTAGGCTGTTTAAAGGTAAAAAGGGATTAAATATACACATTAAACGATGCCATAGTAAAAATATTTCGGCTTCACAGCCTACCGTATAAATTCATGACTCTTCTGATAATATACCTAATGACACAAATTCTTCACTTTTTTTCGAAACAATTATACAATTTCTATAGTAACGTACCAGTGGTTAAAAGAATTCCCAGAGGCGCGAGGATGCAACTTGCTAAAGCATTATCATTAACTATTCAAAATTGTCTAACGAATTGTGAAAAAAGTTGGCAAAAATTATTTACATTCGCGTATTCCCACTTTCATTTTAGTAAAACAATAAATAAATCAATTACGTCTCAACTAAAAGAAAATTCTTTTCAAAATTTGAAGTACCCGATTAATACTCATTCCTCTCGACCTTATCCTAAATTTGATTTAAAAAAAGTAGTTGAATCAAAAGTAATGGACGGCGACTTAAAAAATGCATCCCGTATTTTATTTTCAGATGACATCCTCGCTCCTCGTAATGTCGAAACTCTTGAAGGCCTTCGTCAGAAACATCCTTCGGTCAATCCTTCCCAGAATTTACCACTGCCTCCCAATACTTCTATGCAACAATTACAAGTTTCCGAAAAAGACACTTTAGACGCAATATTGTCATTTTCGAATGGCTCTGCCGGCGGCATTGACGGGATTACGCCTCAGCATCTCAAAGACCTTGTAAGCGTATCTGCCGGTGACGCCGGTAGGGTACTTCTTAATGACATAACAAAATTATGTAATTTTATGCTTTCTGGTAATGTCAATCCCAATTTCATTCCCTACTTATATGGGGCAAGATTGTGTGCCTTCATAAAAAAGGAAAACGGTATCCGTTCTATTGCTGTTGGTTCTACATTTCGACGCTTAACTTCAAAATTAGCTTGCCGGCACATAATCTCAAACCTTAAGACAAAATTTCAACCTACTCAACTAGGCTTTGGCTCCAAAGGTAGCTGTGAGGCGGCGGTACATTCGATGCGTACTTTCTTAACTAATTCCAATGCAGATGTTCTTCTGAAGGTTGATCTTAGAAATGCTTTTAACTCTATTGATAGGATAACCCTGCTGAAAGAAGTGGCTAACAATACCCCCGAAATATATCATTACGTTTGGCAATGTTACAGTCAAAATTCAAACTTGTTTTATCAAAACCATATTATTGAGTCTGCTGTCGGTGTTCAGCAGGGTGATCCATTAGGTCCAGCTCTTTTCAGTTTGGGAATTCAACCTATTATTTCAAATTTAAAATCCAAGCTGAATGTCTGGTATCTGGACGACGGTACACTGGGAGGTAAAGCAGATGACGTCCTCAATGATCTTACTCATATTTTTCAAAATTTTAAAAATATTGGTCTTGAACCAAATACAAATAAATGTGAAATATTTATTTCTAATAATTTATATAATTCTAACAGAGATACCTTAATTCAAAATTTCAATCAGATTTCTCCAGGAATAAAAACTGTCATTTCGGAATCGCTTTACCTGCTTGGTGCACCGTTGTTTTTAGATAGTATTAAACCTGTTTTAAAAACAAAATTTGATCAATTTTTAAATCACGTTGATAAATTATATATTTTAAAGCCCCATATTGCCCTTACCATTTTAAAATATTGTCTTCTTGTACCTAAACTTACATACTTGTTACGCTCAAGTCCAGTTTGGAAATGTTCGGATATTTTAAAAGATATTGATAGTAATCTTAAAATTGCTTTAGAAAACATTCTAAATTTGAGATTAAATACAATAGCCTGGAATCAAGCCACTTTACCTATCAAATTTGGTGGAATTGGTGTAAGAAATATTTCTAGCGTCGTATGTAACACAATTTTAAATAATAAAGTAGACCTGTGCTTTGCTGCGGAGGCAAAGCAAACATGGCTAACGCTCTGTTCCGGCGAAAATGTCCCACTGGAAGTTAACCAACAAAAACAGTGGGATATTCCGTTGGTACGGAGTGTCCAGAAAAATTTATTTCAAAATTTCCATATTCAACAAGATCAGGCTCGCCTTCTAGCTGTTTCGACTAAGGAATCTAGCCACCGGTTACATGCTCTGCCATCAAGTAATCTCGGCACATTGCTTGATGGGGAAAGCTTGCGCGTCGCCGTAGGAATCCGGCTAGGAGTGGCAATTTGTCAACCTCACCAGTGCCCCTGTGGTAGCAGCGTCGATGAGTTTGGGCTCCACGCACTGTCATGCAAGAAAAGTGCAGGTAGGTTTTCCCGTCACGGTTCTTTGAGCGAAATCATCCAAAAGGCTCTTGTCTCTATAAATATCCACTCGGTTTTAGAGCCCTGCGGGATATTTAGAGACGATGGCAAGAGACCCGACGGTATGACTTTGGTTCCTTGGGAGAGAGGTAAAGCCCTAGTGTGGGATGCTACTTTCGTACTACTTTGGCGGCCTCTCATCTCAAGGGTACCTCTTTTAGAGCCGGTGCGGCATCAGAGGCAGCCGAATTTAGTAAATGGCGCAAATATGAGTCTTTGAGAAATGACTACATATTTGTGCCATTTGCTGTAGAGACTATCGGTCCGTGGGGTCCACGTGCAATGAAGTTTCTAAAGGAACTGTATCCACGACTGATCGTCGCTGCTGGTGATAAGAGGGCTGGTTCTTTCCTCGCTCAAAGGCTAAGTATAGCTATTCAGCGAGGAAACGCAGCCAGCGTTCTTGGCACTACACCACGGGGAGCAGGTCTTTTTGACGATTTATATTTTTAGTTTTAGATTTTCTATGTTATAGTTTCTTCTTTTATATTGTATATAATTAGTTTTAATAGTAAATATTATAATTTTAATTATTATTTTAGTTAAGTTCTTTATTATAATGTTTGTAATCTAGATATTACTTTAAACTTGTTTAATGGTAAATTTTGTACATTAAAAAAATTTCAATTCAATTCTGAGAAAAATCTAACATTTTATTTAAAACTGAGATAGTTTTAAATAAAATGTTTGAATTTTTAACCGTAATTTATACAAGGGTTATTCATGGTTACATCACAGAAAAAGACTGACGAAAATTACACAGTCACAGGACTTGAAAGATCATCACGGGTTGTCAGTTTTTGAGATTTATTTTTGAACTATTATCGTTTGAAGACCAAGATTTTTGATTATATTTTTCAAATAACTGTCAGGACTTGGCCTATTACCCGTTTTCGGCTTGACGTCGATTTCTGGTACACGTGATATATTTTTAATACCTACTTAAATATTAAAGTGTCAATGCACACACATAACATTATTGATTATTTAATTTAAGAGATATTTTTTATATTTTACCAAATTTTAGATTTTTTATAGAAGTGAGGGCGACAAAAGAGCATGAAGTTCACGTAATGGCCTTAGCGAACCTAGATAATAAATGCAGATGCGAAAACACCTCGGAGGACTAGAATGAAACCTCTCTAAATAAACCGTTTAACGCCTTACTACTCGCTATGGTTAGTTGAAAAGGATTTTTCTATTCCCATTTCTTATACTTGTAGTACAGAAATTACATTAGTAATTTATTCTGTCACTGCCTGGAAATCCGTCTATGTAGGTATCACTATCTCACCTATTTTTGCCGCCAAATTATAGTGCCTTACAGATTGTAATTATACTTTTTTCAAAAATTTCTCAAGGACAAACATCCAGACTCGGTTTCTTGCGAGATTCCAAACCGCGGCCCTTAGAGCTGCATCTCATTGCTAAGACACTGCGCCACGGAGCAGTCAATGCTGGCTCTCTTTCCCCTTCAGCAGCAGTTAGGGTTATCAACTCTCGAAAGGACCAACCCGAGAGAACTTTATGTAATCGAAATAGGTTGTAATCGAGAGGATTAATGAAAGGAAATCTCAATCATTTATTAAATTTTCATCAATATCTAATATTTACCGATTTCGCAAAGCGAGTGCGAGCGACGGATGCATATAATTTTTAGGAAAACCAGAGAAATTATTGCACTCCGGGAGGTCGGGAGGTTAATTTATTTAACCATTATTACCGGAGTCTCCCGGGCAATCCGGGAGGGTTGGGAACCTTAGCAGCAGTGCACGTACTGCTGCTTAGTTGCAAAATAGTTAAAAGGGTGTGTTTACGTGGTAAATCCACACTGCAGCAATATTATATTAGTAGCGCGACGGCTCGACCGGAGAGGAACACGCTCTCACAGAATACCAGCGTAAAATAGCAGCTTAATGCTGATGTGTTTCGTATGGTGAGTGTAGAGAACCGGAGACCCTTTTAACTGGAAACGAGGCATTCTATCTTAATCCTCAGGGATGACGACGCGTCTGCATTTTGATTCTCAATTAAGGATAAATGTAGATGTCTATGCGCCACAGCATCTTCATACCATCAGGTGAACTGTGTGCTCGTTTATCACCCAATTCTATAAAAAACACCTAAACCGACGGACACATACATCAACCCAGTATTTACTACTGGCTTCGGTTAAACTTGTTTTTGATTAGCTCGTTAATATCGACGATATAGTTAAATGAGCGAAGTCCACAATTTCCTTCAATGAACCGTTCGTCGGTTGGTAAACAAATGCTTCTGAGAAATACAACTGGTTCATCATACACGACATCAAAAGTTCGTTGTATATATACGAGTACGTTTATTTGTTATTTAAATTCTCGGCGGCTCGCTCGTCTCGCTAGCCAGTACGCGACCGCACGCATTTGGATAAAGTTGATAGTGTTGTTGTGTGTAATTTATTTTTAAAAATGTATTGCTTTACCGTATTAGGATTATTGTTAACATTTACCGGCAGTGCCATTGCTCATACATATCATCTGGGAGCATGTCCCGTAGTCGAACCAATGCCTGGATTTGAAATGAATAAGGTGGGTATAAAGTTGAGGCCTGTTTTTTGTTAACACTTATGATGTTTTATAAATGAAATGTAATAAGTAAAAGTTTTGAAAATAATATTCAAAAACATCCCAATTATATTTGCATCTTTAGATGCTCTTTCTGAATTTTTAATATAAATGTTACATGGAAGTTTATTATAATATTTTCTTTAAATTATTCATCCTGTTGTAAAGCGGTGACTGCATGACATTTTACATCCGACCGTTGATAAGAATTGTTTGTGCATAAAGATTACGATTGAGCATTTACAGATAGAATGGAGTTTTGTTTATTTTATAAAGATATAAACAATCCTTTTTTTTAAAGAATCAGGGTGACTAACGAGCACCATAGTCCAACTGATGGTAATAAGTGGATGCCGTAGCCCATAAACACCTACATATATCCTCTTTTATGAATCATAATATACATAAGAATCGTAAGGACTAGGTATATAGAATTCATTAAATGCCTCGATAACAATAACTAGGGTGTCCAATTTTCACGCACTATGCAAAACAGAGCAGCAACTGCTATTTCACGCCTTTATTCTGGAAGAGCGTGGTCCTTTTCCGTTCGAGCCGAACCATTCGTACTGGCTGCTGGCTCTATTAAAAATAATTTATGCTTTTATCATTGCTTTAGAACAAGCTCTGCGTTAGGAAGTACCTGCAAGATATCCGACGAGAACTTTTTTAATACAATAAATAGCTTACAACGTATTTTGTGCACTTAATTATAAAAGAAAAATTTAATATACTCGTGGATTAGTAGAAACCAGAGGTTCATATCCCCGGGATTGAGGTGATCACTAAAGTTTTAAATTTTAGGAATAATAACTAGTGTAGTGGCGACATAGGGGAATCACAGCTCTTTATCATTTCGTTAGTGTCGTAAGAGGCGACAGAGGGAAATACAACAAGAGAGAGAGAGAGAAAGCAGCAGTTATCTTCTTGATAAAGAAAATAACAAAAAACTGATGTTGCTAATCCACCTGCCAAGCGTGGTAGTTATGGCAAATACCTATCCTCCATATGAGGCGATCTATGGGGGAAGCTTATGTTCAGCAGTGGTCAAACTCCTAGAAAAGAGGTTGGATGAGGAGGCTCTTTTTATACAGTTTTTGTTTAATACAACTTTTATACATGTAGTACATAAGGGTAATATGGTCATCGGTTAATATGTTCATTTTCTTATAGCTCAAAAACTACAGCCTTGTTTGCATAGATGAATTTGTGATACGATACCTCTTCATCGGTCAATCAAAAATAAAAAGGGTCAAAGGGCGCTGCTTTATCCACGCCATTTTGACAGTTGACATTATAAGTACAGTCGCGGAGCAAGAGGAATTTCGTACAATGACCTCTTTGCCTACTGACAGTGGTCACAAGCATTTTTGTGTTATGTGTAGTTTTTATGAAATATTTGAAGGAGAAAAAAATAAATTTACTATCGTATTAAATAAATTATTGGTGTTATATAAATTATTTATTTCGATTTTAGTATAAAAACAGTTGATTAAAACTACTTTAACGTATTTTGTCGCGTTTAACTTTAAATGATTTTTCATTTCTGACGTTTCGGGTGCCTACCAGCACCCATGGTCACCGGGGACTGAGGTAACTGACGTCCCGATGTCAATGTTAACCCGGAGTACCTTCAGCATTTTAATTATTGTGTATGGTCTGATCTACGCAGCATGAACTTACTGTGACTAGAAGTCTTGCAGCGGTATGCTTGGGTTTAGTTTTAATTTTATTAATTACAGAGTCCCAAGCAGGGGGTAGTACCCAGACTCCTTCTTTATTTTAATCAATGTGTAGTGTTCGCATAAATATAATAAATCATTAAAAAACGGTTATAAAATTCAAGTAATGGTCGCCACACACGGTCAGTTCAACTGATCATTTCAACTGATCAGTTCAAATTAGGGCTGTTGATATTTTTTTAAATATCGGATTTTCGATAAATCAATTATGCTTATATCAATATCGGAGTTTTATACATAAGTTTATTTATAGATATATCGAAAATCCGATATTTTAAAAAATATTAACAGTCGTAGTTTAAGCTGATCAGTCGGAATGATCAGTTGAACTGACCGTGTGTGTCTTCCATATCAATTACTAATTTAGCAGAAATAAAAAAAAATTTAATTCGAAAATCAGAATCCGATTTCTCTGTATCGGAGTTACTGCTTTCCGATGACGTTCCGCCTGTCACATTTATTACAAAAGACTCAACAGTTTTGTCTACATTAAACTTATCAAAACCACTTAACAATTAAAACAAGTAACTAAAATTAACATACAAAAACAAACTAAGAATAGACAACAGAGGTAACTGTGTCCGTAAACTGAGCGATCGCATGCGGGAAAAAAAAAACCCAATCTCCAGCAACCCAATACCACGTGCAACCAAACCTTACAGTCTCAGGTAAAAAAGGTTTACAATGCCTGAGGATGGCGGTCATTGCATCTGTGTGAGCGAGACGCATTATACTTACGCGGGAGTGAGACAGAGACAGGTAATAACTGGTCGACGTCCGAAATTCTTCCTGCTTCGCGTCCGGACTATATTTTAGTCGATTTTAGTATGATGTAGTGTCACTGACCTCTATATATACAAGTGTAGTGTAATTAGTTTTTTTAAGTAGATTTTCCGAAATGTTCCTAATCATTGTCAAAGCTTGTTTGCTTTTCTTTTCTTATTTTATTGGTTTAATATACGACTTTGTGTTTATGTTTCTGTTCTTCTTCTGGTTTTGGTTTCATAAGGCGGCAAAGCTTAAGGTGACCATATTATCCTCACGTACCTTACATACATTTAATATGTTTTTCTAAGACAGGCTTTGTATTTTACTGAATTACTGATATCAAGACTAATTTATGTAATTCTCATTTAATGTTTATAACTTAATTTATTTCTACTAACTTTATTATACAATTAACTAGGTATCTAACAAGATTAAAAATGGTATGACTGAAAAATATTTTTATTCCAGATTTAACGTAAGTAGATTATATCAGACGTAGATCCTATTAAATTCTTAAACACCGGTGAAACCGGTTAAGTTCTTTGCATTATTTTCTAATAATAATAATAGTTTTATCAAAAAAAAATTAAAAAGTTTTTTATAGAGGCAAAAGTTTTTTTTATAGAGGGATAAAGGACCAACCTGTCACAATATGACCAACGGGCACAGTTCTCCTGACAGTAAGTATATACTGTGACTAGGGTTCCCAACTCTCTCGGATTTCCCGGGAGACTCCAATAATATTGGGTAATCTCCCGACCTCCCGGGGTACAATAATTTCTCCGGTATTTCTAAAAATTATACGCATACATCGCTCGCACTCGAATTGCGATCACACACAACACCGCGAGCTGCTGTCGGTGTAAATTTGTTCGTCCCGCCGCGCCGTCGACGTTGTCGATTCGGCGGTTCCTCAATGCTGCTTAAAATTATGGAAAAATGTTTCTGTTTACTAAAAGTTTAAAACTTTAAATTTGAAAATATATAAAGAAAATTGTAAATGCCATATTTTCTAGAACTGCGTTAAAAATCTTTTAAAAGTTCTGTCAATTGATGTGATAATTCCACACATTGTTTTGAAAGTTTACAAGTAAGTATGCAGAAATTGAGTTTCTCTAAACTCTGTTTAAACTCAATTTCTGCATGTGAGCAACTTATTATCAGCACATTTTTCCTTTTAGCAAAAGGCGAAAATTCGCTGTAAACTTTTAGAATGCCATTAAATTACTGGAATCCAACAGAGTAACAAGCACTGAAATACATGACATAATGAATGAACTGAAAACGAAGCTACAAAACGGACCAGCTGATCAATTGTATGGTAAATCTGCCACGGATTTATTAAAGCAGTTAGATGAACCACAAAAAATAAATTTTAAAACGGATTTCATTAACTTTTTTACGAGTTATTCGAAATATTTTCAAATATGGTTTAACTTTGAAAATCGGGAATAACAAGCAATAAAAATCTTATCTCTAAAAGAACAGAACAGGACAGCCATTACAAAAATTTCGGGAATTATTTGATATTGACTTAGATAGTAACAAACTGTACGGTGAGGTTGGACTTTTAGGTGAGATGCAACCACAGCTTGTTGAAGAAAATCGAGTGGATTTACGCTAGGTTGACTTATTTACGAAATCGAAAGACAGATATCCCTGTCCTGAGTTGAAAAATATGGTCACGTTTGTTCTTTTCATTCCTGACTCTAATGCAAGAAGCATTACAGCATGATGGAACAAGCATGGAGCAAAGAAAAAAACCGAATGAGTATTTCTTAAGTAAAAATAGAGTCACAAGTACTAACAAACTTCGATTTTTCATACAAATTTTTTATGGTTTTGTATCGAAAAATCGACAAATTTTAGGTGTTGATCGAAAGCAAAGTAAATATAAATTTAAAAATTAATAAATTATTAAGATTTTCTTTCAATCCACCCCCTACTCGATTTCACAGAATTCTTCCGGGTTGGTCCTTTCGAGAGTTGGTAACCCTAACTGTGACCTATAACATTGATATCTACCCTCTTTCAATGTAGAGGAATGGAGACCCTTTTTATTTCTAATGAGGCATTCCATTTAAGTCCCCAAGTGTGCATCACCGCATCTGCAGTTTGATTCTTAACAGAGGACGGATGCAGATGTCTGTGGGTCATAGCATCCATTTACCATCAGGTGGACTGTGTGTTCGTTTGTCATCCTCATTCGAGCTTATAATCTTCCCAATAATAAATGGCCACTGCAGTCCATGGACACTCGAAACCCACTTTAAACAAAGATTGCACTATAAAGGCATTGTCACCTCCGAGGACTAAGATGGAATTCTTTACAGTCTGTAGTTATACTACCTCTCTATACCCTTCAATCCGGCATGTAATACTATTTGACGAAAGAAATAGGTAACAGGGCTGTGCCCACCCAGATGGACTCCAACAAGAAATCAGCTCACGTAA